TGTCTGTGCGTTCGTGTGTCTGTGTGCGGTGTGTGCGTATATCCGTGCGTCCGCGTGTCCGTGTGTCCATGTGTCCGTGTGTCTGCAAGTCGGTGTGAATGTGTGTCTGTGTGTCCGTGTGTCTGTGTGTCCATGTGTCCCTGTGTTCGTGTGTCCGTGTGTCCTTGTTTCCGTGTGTCCGTGTGTCCATGTGTCCGTGTGTTTGTGTGTCGGTGTGTATGTGTCTGTGCGTTCGTGTGTCTGAGTGTCCGTATGTCCGTATGTCCGTGTGTACGTGTGTCCAAGCGTCTGCGTGTCTGTGTCTCTATGTGCCTGCGCGGCTGTATGTCTATGTGTATGTGAGCATATCTGTGTGTCTGTGTGTCCGCGTGTCTGTGTGTCAATCTGCCCGTGTGTCTGTGTGTCCGTGTGTCCGTGTGTCCGTGTGTCCCTGCGTCTTTAAGTCTGTGTGTCTGTGACTCCGTCTGTCTGCGTGTCTGTGTGTCCGTGTGTCCGCATGTCCGTGTGTCCATGCGTCCGTGCGTCCGTGTGTCTGTGTCCGTGTGTCCCTATGTCCGTGCGTCCGTGTGTCCATGTGTCCGTGTGTTTGTGTGCCGGTGTGTATGTGTGTCTGTGCGTTCGTGTGTCTGTGTGTCCGTATATCCGTGCGTCCACGTGTCCGTGTGACCATATGTCCGTGTGTCTGTATGTCAGTGTGACTGTGTGCCTGTGTGTCCATGTGTCTGTGTCCGTGTGTCCCTGTGTCCATAAACCCGTGTGTCCGTGTGTATGTGTGTCGGTGTGTATGTTGAAAATGTGTCTGTGCGTCCGTGTGTCAGTATATCCGTGCGTCCGTGTGTCCGTGTGTCCGTGGGTCCATGTGTCCGTGTGTTCGTGTGTCCGTGTATTCAAGTGTCCGTGTGTCTGTGTCTCTATATTCCTGCGCGGCTGTATGTCTGTGTGTATGTGTGTCTCTGTGTGTCTGTGTGTCGGTGTGTCTGTCCGTCTGTGTGTCGGTGTGTGTCTGTGTGTCTGTGCGTCTGTGCATCAGTATGTCTGTGTGTCTGTGTGCCTGTGTGTCTGTGTGTCTGTGTGTCTGTGTGTCTGCGTGTCTGTGTGTCTGTGTGTGCCTGCTTGTGCGTGTGTGTGCGCGTGCGTGCGTGCGCGTGCGTGTGTGCCGAATGATCGAATGCGCACGTCCAGCCACAACGGACGCAACTGACAGTGACCTGCTCTAGCGAGGACCCAAAGGTCTGGGCTCTGGAGAGGCACGCAACCAAACAAAAGCCGCCAAATGCAAACTCATCGAGCCCGAAGGGGATCAGTACTCATACCAATCACCACAGTGCGTACCAGTGCACGCTCATTCACGAGTGGGAAGCGGCTTCCCTGCCGGCGCCTTCCCCTCAAGGATCTAATCACGCCGCCCGGCCCTCTCCTTCTCGGGACGTGTGACACACAGGCGAGGGACAGGGGGCCAGCCAAGACATGCACTGCTGAGCCCATGGGCGGTGCGTCCAGAATGCGCGCCAAACTTGACGGTACAATAGTGTAGGGAGGTCCCTGTGCGTATGTTTGCGTATGTATGTGTGCGCGTGCCTGTGCGTGTGTGTGTGTGCGTGTGTGTGTGTGCGTGTGTTTGTGTGTTTGTGCGTGTGTGTGCGTGTGTGTGTGTGTGCGTGTGTGTACGTGTGCGTGTGTTTGCGTGTGTGTGTGTGTGCGTGTGTGTGTATTTGTGCGTGTGTGTGTGTGTGTGTGCGTGTGTGTGCGTGTGTGTGTGTGTGCGAGTGTGTGTGCGTGTGTGCGTGGGTGTGTGCGTGAGTGTGCGTGCGTGTGTGTGTGTGTGTGTGCGTGTGTGTGGGTGTGTGCGAGCGTGCGTGTGTGTTCGTGTGTCCGCTTCAACGGCGCCCCCGTTCAGCCCATTCCGCTAGCGCAGACGATTCCTGCCTCGCCACCGACGCAAAAGCGTGTGCGTGTGTGTGTGTGTGTGTGCGTGTGTGTGCGTGTGCGTGCGCGTGTGCGTGTGCGTGTGCGTGTGTGTGCGTGTGCGCGTGTGTGCGTGCGTGTGCGTTCATGCGTGCGCGTTCGTGCGTGTGCGTTCGTGCGTTTGTGTTCGTGCGTGTGCGTGCGAGCGTGCGCGTGTTCGTGTGTGTGTGTGTTTGTAGTTGTGCTTGTGTTTGTGTGTGTTTGTGTGTGCTCGTGCTTGTGTTAGTGATTGTCTGTGTGCTTGTGTTTGTGTTTGCGTGTGTTTGTGTTTTATGTGTATGTGTGTCATGTGTGCATGTATATGTGTATGTAGTTGTGTACGTGCTTATGTTATGTGTGTGTTTGTGGTTGTGTTTGTGTTTGTGCATGCGTATGTATATGTGTATGTGTTTGCGCATGTGTTTGTGTTTGGGTTTGTGTGCTTGTGTATGTGGTTGTGTTTGTGCGTGTGTGTGTGTTTGTGTGTTTGTGTCTTTGTATGTTTGTGTATGTTTGTATGCTTGTTTGTGTTTATATGTGTGTTTGTGTTTGTGCTTGTGCTTGTGTGCGCACGTGAGTGTCCTTGTTTGTACGTGCGTGTACGTGTGTGTTTGTGTGTGCATGCGTGCATGCGTGCGTGCGTGCGTGCGTGTGCGTGCGCGTGTGCGCGCGTGCGCGCGTGCGTGCATGCGTGTGCGTGCGTGCGTGTGTGTAAGCGTGTATGTGAATGTATGTGGCGTGTGTGTCTGTGTGAATGTGTGTGAATGTGTGTGTGTGTGTGCGTGCGTGTGTTTCTGCCGGCGGCTGCGAGACCCAAAGCGGTCTCTGAGGGCCCGGACGCTTCTAGTCCGCGCGCGCGTGTCCTGCTTTCCGACCTTCTCCGCCCTGTCGCCGCGCACAGGGTCACGACGCGAAAAAAACGCGCGCGTGTGTGTGTGCATGGGTGTGCATAGCGTTGGCCGGCACCCGCACCAACTCTTGCCCCTCGCCGCACCGCGCCACCCCTGGGCGGACCGCCGGCGGCGTCTGCACGCGCCTGTCTCGTGTCGTGCACCCCTGCATGCTTTGCTGCACTGTCTCGTGTCGTGCACCCTTGCATGCTGCACTGTCAACCGCCCGTTGGTTAGCCCCCATCTAGGGGAACAAAGAGTGGCATAACCATAAAAACTCGGAGGTCCGCGCGGGTTCCTCGGATCGGCGCTGGGGCCCCCCGGCGACGCCTCCGGCGCCGCCCCTGGCGCGCTCCGCGCGCCAGGGAGGGGGTCCAGCGCCGATCCGAGAAATCCGCGCGGACCTCCGAGTTTGTATGTTTAGGTCACTTCTTGTTCCCTTACCATCGGCACATGCTCGGGGGTAACCTGCTCGGCGCATCCCGCGAATGCCCTCGCCGAGTTGGACCAGGCGGCAGCGAAGCGAAAAGTGTATGCATCTTTCTTTCACCTCCATCCCGGAGCGAGCGCCGCCTTGTCGGACCTCGTCATGCGAGTAGCCAAGCGGGGGTCCAGCATGTCCAAGCTGGCGACTGAGGCCTCCGCGCAAGGTGGAGGACAGAGGGGCGGGCAAGAGGGAAGAAGGGGGCAGGGGAATTGCCAGGCAAGGAGAGAGGGAGAGAGGGGGGGAGGAGGCAGGGAGGCAGGGGGCGAGATCTCAGGCAGGATGAGGCGTCAGCTCCCCTGCCAGCTCCAGAGCGTGAGCGCCGAAATGATGCCCAGCGCAGTAGGGAAGTGAGCGCCTCGGCCAACCGAGGAAGAAGAGGTCGGCTACAAGTAAGAGTGACCCTAGGCAAGGGTGACTTTTGGTGCGCGGCTTTAAGGGGGGGCGCAAGGGGGCCAAAACCAAGCACGCAAGCCGCCGCTGCCGCTTCGCGCTCAGCGATGGGGGGACCCCATTGGGCCCGCACCAAAGGTCACTCCAGCGAAAGGTCACTCGTACGTCTAGTCGAAGAGGGGAAGGAGCAGGACGATGAGGATTGTCCCGCTGGCCCTTGGGCGTAGGTGGTCGAGAGAGTCCGAGATCTGCCTGGGGACTGGATGTCCTTGTCGTCCTCGTCGTCCCCAACGTCCTCAACGTCCTCAACGTCCTCAACGTCCTCGTCGTCCTTATCGTCCTTATCGTCCTCGTCGTCCTTATCGTCCAGCCTCCTCCTTCCACTTCGTGAGGGGCTTACCTCTCAGCACCTTCCCCTCTGCCTGTGGCCCTGGATGTGGCTGGCAGCCTGGCGTGGTGGCCGCCCGTGCCCAGCCGCGGAGAGAAGCACGAGGCACAGATGAAGATCCTCGTTGGGCGGAGGCCCAAATTTGAAGGTTGAGGGGGGACTGCAACTCTTTTGGGGTGCTCCTGGGGCCCTGCTTGGGCTCTGCTTGGACCCAGCGAGGGCTCTCTTCGGACTCAGTTGGAGGCTCTGAGGGCCTGAGGAGCCCCCCTAAGGCCGTCTTGCGATCAGGATGGCGTCGAGCACAGGTGGTCTTGTTGGCACTTTCGCGATTCCGTCTTGACCCCTTCCTGGGGCCTCTCTTGAGCAATCTGTGGGCCACATTGAACGACTGCCTACCAGACCACCCCAAGCCCGAAGACCCGAATTTCGGGTTCGGGGGAGGCACGGGTTCCGTATGTGTGTGTGTGCTTTGTCCCCATGCTCCCCGACCCCCCTCCCACTGGAAATGGAGGGCAAATCGGCGCCTTCGGGTTGGGTTGGGGTGGCTTGGTGGGCGGTGATTGAAGCCTCGAGGTCCTTTCGCGCAAGCCAGAGGAAGCAAGAAAGGCTAAAACCGCTGAGACACCTCACAGAGCGCTGGCCCTCTCAGGGCCCACCACTGGGAGGCTCCGCTGCCACCTCGGGCCGGCGTGCGGCGGTCTGCAGGCCGGTTGGAGGCCCGGTGGAAGCCATCTTGGACCATCGCGTGCCGCCTTGTGGCTATAGTGAGAGCCGCCTCGCGTTGTCTTCCCTTGCCGAGGATGAAGCGGGGGCGTGGCACGCCGGTCTCGTGGCCGAGGGTCCTTCCCCTGGGCCTGGACCGGGGGGCTGAGAGCAGCTCCAGCGCACAAGCTGACAAGAGGGCCCAGGACATCCGAAGGTTTCCAAGATGGCGCACTGTGGCCCAAGATAGCTTCGGAGATCCTCCAGCAGACCTCCAAGAGGTCCCAAGACCGCCCCAGGACGGCTCCAAGTGGCCTCGGCCCCTCCCGATGTCATCCCCGAGAGGTCGCAAGCTGTCATCGCCTCTTAGCTTTCGGTAGGGCTCTGGGGCCTCCAGGTGACTCCAAGATCATCCAGCAACCCCAGGAGATGGAACCACTGCTTTTGTTCTGCTTGGGCTCCTCCGCGGCTCGACTGCACGACTCACGGCCTTGCCAGACCGAAGTTCCACACAGTCGCAGTGCCAGAAGCTGCCCCAGCACCTAAACCACGATGGACCACTTACGGGTCCATGCATTACTAACGGGGTAACCCTACGCCAACACGAGCGAAAGTGCTCGCTGGTTGCGAGATAGTGGGGTGCACCCATGACTGCCCCGCTGACAAGAAATTAAACGATAGTGCACCAACCTCCAACATCAACATCAGGAAGAGGCGCCAAATTCTTGGGCTCGTTCACGCTCTGAAGTACCCGATGTATCGATTCCATGTCAATGAACTTGAGCATCAAATTCTTGAAGACCCTGTTCAACACGAGCTGGACAAGCCGCAATGCCCAAACGATGACAAGTTTTGCATTCATTGCCATAGTCACCAAAATAATGTGACCTGTAAGCGAGATAAGAATTACTGAGAATCCGTCGCCCGACAAGCACAGACTCATCACTGCAAGAATTTGGATCAAAGCCAGAAGTACGATGAGCAACACAAAAATAATTCGCTGCATTTGCTTGACGTCCTTGGCAGCTGGCGGAATTGCCTCAGGATCGACTCTGATGACCCTTTCTACCTGTTCAATGGCAGGCGCCAGTGTCTGCATGAGAAGTGACACCACACTGTCAGTGGCAAGCGCCATGGGCGTACCTCTCAGGGGTGCTGAGACCAGCTCTGAGCATTGGTGCTGCAGGGATCCCTTCATAGACGCGAAGGCACCGTCAAATACATCTGGGAAGGTGTCGGCCGCCTGCGATGCCTCATACGCCATAGGATAAGCGGCGGCCCAGCACTGCGCCGCTAACGAGGCGATCGCTAGCACCAAGGCACTGTACGGTATGAGAGCCGCAGGGAAGAGGGGCAGATGGAACAGCCCGTGGTAGCCCAAAACTAGAAGCACCACTGGAATTGCACAGCAAAGGCAAACCTTGGATTTTGACATCGGTGGGTCTGGAGGGAGCAACTCCTTGTCTTTCTTCAAAAGCGGCACTGAGATATCAGGCACTGGCTCACCCACATCAGGCACAGCCATACCCACATCACGCACAGTCACCCCCGCAGACGTGAGGGAATTGGCTGGATCTGTAAATCTGTCACTGACCGCGGATCCTGGTGGTGTCTCCTCCTTCGTGGGGCCCTCGGGCACTATCTTCAGCTCACAGGCGCACAAGATAGCGGCCAAATCCACTACCATTGCGCGCCTCGATACACAAGTGCGCGAGCAGCCAGGGTGGTTGAGCCTGCTACTTCCCTTGAGCCCAACTGGCTACGGCCTTGGGCCAGACGGCCACGAGAGACGGCCAAGAGGTGGCCACAGGGGCGCCCAAGAGCGCACACAGAGCGTCCCAAGAGGGCACCAAGAGGCGCCTTGCCGGGCTCCGACAGGAGGGCTGCAATTTCAGCCTCACCCTTTCTCATGATCCAAAACACCGAACATCCTTCGGTGTTTGACAGGTTCCAGCCTCTCGGGTGTATCCTTGGGGGGCTTTGGGGTCAAGATGGCTTCAAGATGGTCGCAGATGTCCTGATGTGCACTCCGAGATGGCGCAAGACGGTCTGAGTTAGCTCAAGATGGTTTCCAGCATGCATCCGAGAGGCCCCAAGACCGCCCCAAGGTGGCTCCAAGTGGCCTCGGACACTCCCAAGGATATTCCCGAAACGCCACCATCATCCAAAAAAACCTGCGGCTGTTAAATAAGTTGTGTGTTTTTCTAGTTTTCGCTTCCTGGGAGCTTAAGGGCCTCAAGGTGGCTTCAAAATCGCCTCAGAACGCCCCAAGAGGAGGCCGCAAAAGCTCCAAGGCGGCCCCGAAGGCCCGCCACCGCACCCCAAGAGCATCCCAAGAGCGTCCCAAAGAGGCGACTTTTCGGGCTCCAGAGGAATGGGGAGAGGGGGGGAATGGGCGTAATTGAAGATCCTCCCCTGTGATACCGATGGCGTCCAGGATGGCTCCGAGGGGGACCCCAAAGCACCCGAGAGAGCCCCCAGAGGGCGCAGAAGGCTGCCAGAGAATCCCCCGAAAGGCCTCAGGGCGGCTCCAGGAAGCCTCTGAGAGGCTCCCTGAGCAGAAGATTCGCGAAACCCTTTATGTTTGACTCTCGTTGTCGTCGTCGTCGTCGTCATGTCGTCGTCGTCGTCCTCGTCGTCGTCGTCCTCGTCCTCGTCCTCGTCCTCGCCCTCATCGTCGTCGTCGTCGCCTCCTTGCTCCGCCAGCATCATCATCTTCTGGCCTGAGGTCCACCAAAATTTGAGTTGGGACGCGTTCTGTCGAATCCCTCTTCCTTCTACTCGCCCCCCTCCTCCTCCAGTTATATGTCCTCATCCTCCCTCCTCTCTCCTCGTCCTCCCCCTCCTGCTCCTTCTCCGTGTCGTCCTCCTCGCCCTCCTTCTTCTTCCCCTCCTCCTCCTCATACGACAGGGCTGCGAAGGCATAGACTGTTCACTCCTCGATGTACTCAGACTGATCCCGAGCTTCGGTTTCACAGCTGCCGCCCAACCCTCTTTGTTCCACTGCATGCCCCCACACTTCCCTGCTCAAGCTCCCGGGCATCGTTTCTGGACAGGCCGGCGAGGACACGCGAGGCGTCAACAGCTTCGAGGCGGGCCCAGCGTGTGGCGACGAGCAGCCCGACAACCTCGATCCCCCAAACCTAGGACCTGGTCCCCGAACCTAACTATCGGGGAGGGGGAGGGGCCTGGAGCCTGCAAGCGTCAAAAGTGAGGGAGGAGGCGGCGTGCTGACCCTGAGTTACACCGCCTCGGAATGTCTTGAGGTCCTACGGACGGGTACGCCAGAGACCTCAATCGAGACTGCGAGCGAAGGAGACCATCTAGGCCGGCAGGCTACAACCGAGGGGGAGAGGGGGGGCGCAGACCGCAGAGGTCGGAAGCGAGATGGCGGGCCCGGCTCCTGAGCCTGCTCGTAGCAGACCCTGTAGCTGAGCAGGAGGCTCAGGTGCGGGAGACTCTCGAAGGACATGCTGAAGAGCTCCTCGCCGCGCGCCCCTCCTCCTCCTCCTCCTCCTCCTCCTCCTCCTCTTCATCATCTTCATCATCATCAAAGTCAGCGCCATGATCACTCGTCAGCATCATCATCATCATCATCATCATCATCATCATCATCATCATCAGCATCATCATCATCAGCAGCATCATCATCAGCATAATCCTTCCCCTCATCCGCATCATCATCATCAACAGCATCAGTATCATCGACATCATCATCATCAGCATCATCATCATCGTCGTCATCATCATCATCATCATCATCATCATCATCATCATCATCATCATCCGAATCAGCATCATCATAATCATCAACAACATCATCATTATTATCATCATCGTCAGCCGCATCATCATTGTCATCATCAGCATCATCATCAGCAGCAGCACCACCATTATCGTCACCGGCAGCAGCATCATCAACATCTTATGTTTCATCATCGTTATCAGAACCATCATGATCATCACCATCACCAGCATCTTCAGCAGCATCATCATCATCACCATCATCAGCACCATCATCAGCATCAGCATCATCATCAGCATCAGAAGCATCAGCATCATCGGCCTCATCACCATCATCAGCATCATCATCATCATTATCAGCAGCATCATCATCGTCACCATCACCATCACCATCACCATCAGCATCACCATCACCACAATCATCATCATGATCACCATCACCACTATGATCATCAGCATCGACATCATCATCATCATCATCATCATCATCATCATCATCATCACCATCCTCGTCATCATCAGCATCGCCATCGTCATCGTCATCGTCATCGTCATCATCACCGGCAGCGGCAGCGCCATCCTCATCATCATCAGCACCAGCATCGTCATCAGCAGTAGCATCTTCATAATCAGCAGCAGTGTCAGTATCAACATAAATATCATCAGACTCGACCTCAGCGTCAGCATCGTCATAATCAGCGTTGGCATCGTCATAATCAGTGTTGGCATCGCCTCTGCATTAGCAGCATAGCCATCCTCATCGTTCTCATGACCATCATCATCATCATCATCATCATCATCATCATCATCATCATCATCATCATCGACATCAGCAGAAGCATCATCGCCACCATCACCAGCCAATCGCCAGCAGCAGCAGCAACAGCAACAGCCGCATCATCAGCTTCATCATCATAAGCAACAGCACCAGCAGCAACATCTGAATCAGCATCAGCATCAGCATCAGCATCATCCGCATCGTCATCATCAACAACAGCAGCAGCATCCTCATCAACAACGGCATCCTCATCATCGCCATCATCAGCATCGCCACCATGATCATCAGCATCCGTATCAGCATCATCATCAGCAGCATGTTCATCATCAGCATCATCACCATCATCATCATCACCATCATCAGCATCATCAGAATCGCCCTCGGTATCGTCATCACCATGATCGTCATCATCAGCAGCATCGCCATCGTCACCATCATCATCACCAGCATCAGTGCCATCATCAGCATCATTATTATCAGCAGCAGCATCATAATCATAAGTATCGTCATCAGCGGTAGCATCATGATTATCAGCAGCATAAGCATCATCGTCTCCACCTGCATCAGCATCACCATCAGTCGCATCCGAATCAGCATCAGCATATTCGTCATCATCATCAGCATCATCATCAGCAGCAGCATCAGCATTATGGTCATCAGCAGTATCATCAGCATTATCATCATCATCATCATCATCATCATCATCATCAGCAGCAGCATCGGCATCACCATTTTCACCTGCATCAGCATCAGCATCAGCATCATTCGCATGAGCATCATCAGCATCGTCAGTATGACGCCCAGCGCACCAGCTCATCATCATCAGCAGCAGCAGCATCAGCATCAGCAGCAGCATCAGCATCAGCAGCAGCATCAGCATTGGCATCATCATCATCAACATGATCAGTATCAGCATCATCATCATCATCATCATCATCAGCATCATCATCATTATCATCATCATCATCATCATCATCATCATCATCATCATCATCATCATCATCATCATCGGTATCAGAATCATCACTAGCATGACCATCAGCATCAACATCAACATCATCAGCGTCAGCAGCAGTACCGTCGTCTGCATCGCAATCACCATCAGCAGCATCCCTATCAGCATCAACATCAACAGCATCATCAGCAGCATCCGTAGCATCATCGTAATCAGTTTCACCGTCATCAGCACCATCATCATCACCAGCATCCGCATCATCACCATCATCATCGTCGTCGCCATCGGCATCGTCATCACAATCGCCATCATCAACATCATCATCAGCATCATCAGCATCAGCACCAGCATCAGCACCAGCATCAGCATCAGCATCAGCATCGCCATCATCGACAGCATTATCGGCAACAGCAGCACCACCATCGTTATCATCATCACCACCAGCAGCATCATCATCAGCAGCAGCGATCAGCAGCAACGACATCATCGTCGTAGCCGTCATCTGCATCACAATAATCACCAACATCACCAGCAGCATCAGCACCATCACCGCCATCATCATCAACATTACCAGCAGCGTTAGCACCATGACCAGCAGCATCATTGTTAACATCACCAGCAGCATCAGCACTATCATCACCATCATCATCACCACCAGCGCCTGCGAGAGCCGTTCCTCCTCCATGCGCCTCCTCCCCCCAGAACAGCTGACGTCCCACCGCCGCTCGCCACAGCCGAACTCTCGCTGCCGCCAGCGCTGCGGCATCATTATCACCGCCACCATCATCATTGTCATCATCATCAGCAGCATCATCATCATCATCATCAGAGAAACTATGGATTCAGTTTGTGTCGGGGGTTCGGTTTTCTGCTATGCCTGGCGGCCCATAGGGGCCAGACGGATCGCGAGTAGGCGGAGGAGGAGGAGGAGGAGGAGGAGGAGGAGGAGGAGGAGGAGGAGGAGGAGGAGGGGCCATCTGTGGTTGTGGCTCCTCGCGTTTCTCCGGCCTGCCTCTCTCCCCTCCCCCCCACTCCTTCTCTCCCAAAACCCCCATCCCTCCTCCTCCCCCCGCCCCTCCCCCCGAAATGGGACGAATTGCAACCGACTGGTCCCAATTCCAACCGTTCGGAGCGAATTGCAACCATACATGGGACCAATTACAACCATGGGATCTTCAGAAGTACTTCTTATTCAGAAGTACTTCTTTCTTCTTCAGAAGTATTTCTTTCTTCTTCAGAAGTACTTCGATTCCTTAGGGTTCCTTATGATTCCTTAGGACTCCTTAGGATCCTTAGGATTCCTTAGGGTCCTTGGGATCCCTTAGGATCCTTAGGATCAGGATTCCCCCAGATTCCGTCAGGAATCCTTAGGAATATTTGCGAATCCATAGGAATCCTGACAACATCCTTAGGGGAAGGGTGCGCTTTGGGGGCCTTCTTGGTGTCTCTTTGGGCCACTCTTAGGGCCCTCTTGGGGCCTTCTTGAAGCCCTCCTGGGGCCCTTATTGACTTTTCTTGGCGCCCAAATGAGCCCTAGAAGGGCCAGCGTTCGAGGGCTGCAGGGGGGCCCAGCAGAGTGACGTCCTACGGGGGCTCAGATTGGACCTCGCCATCCCTGGGGGGGGGCTGCGATCTGCGAAACTGTCGCCACTTTCGAGGGGTGCTGGTGGGTCCAGTGGACTGGCGTCCTACAAGGGGCCCTAAAAGAGCCCGAAACGGCAGCAAGAGGGAAAAGCAACCGACAAGTATGGTTTTTTGATGGGGGCGGGAAGAACAACCGAACAATATTTGATGTTTCGGAAGGGGCTGCTTTGGGGGCCTTCTTGGGGTCTCTCTGGGCCACTCTTAGGGCCCTCTTGGGGCCTTTTTGGAGCCCTCCTGGGGCCCTTATTGGCTTTTTGTTGGCGCCCGTTATAAGCCCTAGAAGGGCCAACTTTAGAGGGCTGCAGGGGGGGCCAGCAGATTGACGTCCTATGGGGGCTCAGATTGGACCTCGCCACTTTCGAGGGGTGCTGGTGGGTCCAGTGGACTGGCGTCCTACAAGGGGCCCTAAAAGAGCCCGAAACGGCAGCAAGAGGAAAGAGCAACCGAAACATATTTCATGTTTTGGAAGGGGGCGGGAACACAACCGAAACATATTATATGTTTCGGAAGGGGCTGCTTTGGGGGCCTTCTTGGGGTCTCTCTGGGCCACTCTTAGGGCCCTCTTGGGGCCTCCTTGGATCCCTCCCTCCTCCCTCCTCATCCCTCCTCCTCCTCCTACTCCTTCCTCCTCCCCCTCTCCTCCTCATCCTCTTCCTCCGTCCCCTCCTCCTCCTCCTCCTCCTCCTCCTCCTCCTCCTCCTCCTCCTCCTCCTCCTCCCCCATCGTCCTCCTCCTCTTCCTCCTCCTCATGGTCCTCCTCATCCTTCTCCTCCTCCCTACGTCGCTCCCCCTTCCCGCCGCCCCCCCTCCCTACTCGCATTGTAGATTACAAGACTTTGTGCGCGTGCTCAGCCCCAGCAGCCAATATCGATGACATGACGGGTTGGCGGACGGGATAGTCGTTTTGCGTAGTAATAGTCGTAGTAGTAGTAGTAGTCGTAGTAGTAGTCGTAGTAGTCGTAGTAGTCGTACTAGTAGTAGTAGTAGTAGTAGTAGTAGTAGTAGTAGTAGTAGTAGTAGTAGTAGTAGTAGTAGTAGTAGTAGTAGTAGTAGTAGTAGTAGTAGTAGTAGTAGTAGTAGTAGTAGTAGCAGTAGTAGTAGTAGTAGTAGTAGTAGTAGTAGTAGTAGTAGTAGTAGTAGTAGTAGTAGTAGTAGTAGTAGTAGTAGTAGTAGTAGTAGTAGTAGTAGTAGTAGTAGTAGTAGTAGTAGTAGTAGTAGTAGTAGTAGTAGTATAGTAGTAGTAGTAGTCGTAGTAGTAGTAGTAGTAGTAGTAGGAGTAGTAGCAGTAGTAGTAGTAGTAGTAGTAGTAGTAGTAGTAGTAGTAGTAGTAGTAGTAGTAGTAGTAGTAGTAGTAGTAGTAGTA